CTAATCACTACTCCCTACTCCTCTACCTAGCGCAGCATAGCGCAGCCTCCAACCAGCAGCGTGTCRCTCAGAAATGGGCGACTTCAACTGTCCGTTGCCYAGCTGCTGCCCGRCTATATGTAGTGCTGGGCCGCTGGGCCTACCTGGTAYTGTGTGGCCTAAAACGGCCCAKGTGGTCTGGGTCCCTRYCGGACGTCCRGACCTTGMTGSTGCTGCAGCGTRGYGCAGAAATGCGCCTGGCCTAAAAACGGCCGCCTACCGGTGCACCTGGCCCAAGGTGCTATCTTGGGTCCTGCAGGACCGAAAYGAYGCCGGTTTGGCGCCAAAATGYRCYTGGCSTCRTTTCGGGCCTGCCTCCGGTGTACCTGGTCCCAAGGTCCGRCCTTGGGGCTGCAAGTCCRAAACGGCACCTGAACAGAYAAAAATAAGACAGCACACACACAGAAAAAAGGGGTAAGTAAACGAAAACCTACCTACCTACGTGCTGCCTAGGGCCTGGAGGGCCGCCGTGGGCCTTTAGGGCGCGTGCTGGATAGTACGCGGCCTGGGGGCCCCTCAGCAACCGTCGGGCCCCTCAAATGGGGCCCGTGTGCAGGCTCAGCATGCAACACACAATAAGTCCTTGCCTCTCGAGTGGAGGAGCAAGTACCTGTCGGCAATGCGATAGTGGCTGGCCGGCGGGTGATCCGAAGATAGCTGCGTATACAACGTGGCGAAGTCCGGAGCAGACTCATAGCCCCGGATGAAGTGTCGCTGGAGTTCCTCGTCAAATGCGAAAGCATGATGTGTCATAGCGCAAAGATCAGGTCTTTGCGAGAGTGCATCTGCTGCGCGATTGGAGAGGCCGGGGAGATGTTTCGGTGTGAAGTCAAATTGGTCGATGAAGTACATCCATCGTCCGATCGTGCTGCTCACCGTATCCTGCGTCTTGTAGTAGGTCAAATGTACACAGTCAGCAGACGGGAAGGAGCCTAAATCGATGGACTCGAAAGAGAACATCGCATACTTGAGCAGTACGAATCCGTCGGCGGTCGGGTGAGACTAACTAAGCAGTCGTTGGCTGCTTCGACATCTACCGACTTCGTACCCTTTGGAAATCAATTAAATTATGCATGAGAGAAAGGTCTGGCCAGAGCGAGCAGACTACAGCGATCTATCTATCGCTGTAGTCCTCCAAATATGTTCTCGTCCATTATGTATGGCAATTGTATGTCCAATCATGCTAGGAATTATTGTAGATCCTCTAGACCATGTCAGAATTACCTTTTGTCCGTGACCCATGTGAACCTTTGACGCCCAAGGAGGAAGTGCCGCCATCGCTTGAGAGCCATCACGAACGCGAGCAGCTCCTTCTTCCTTGCATCATCAAGCGAATTGATGGGAGGCACTTTGTGGCTGAAATACTCCACAGGGTGCCAGTCGTCGCCGTCGTGTTGTTCCAAGACTGCCCCAATGGTTCGATAAATTTGTTGTTGTATACGTGGATGACATTTTGATCTTTAGCAAGTCATTAGATGAACACCAACAACACTTACGTTTAGTGCTAAGTAAGTTGCGCGACGCACAATTTCAGTTGAACCCAAAGAAGTGTGAAGGGGCCAAGCATCAGGTTTTGTACTTGGGACGTGTTAGATGGAGATGGAATTAAGACAGAAGACGCCAAAATAGCAGCAATCAGGGATTGCCCGACACCCCCGTACTTTGACGGAACTACAATCGTTCCTTGGTCTAGCCAACTATTACCACAAGTTCGTACAAAACTTTACTGTAATAGTTGCTCCGTTGCGTATGCTGTTGAGGAAAGAGAGTTTGGAAATGGGATAAAGACTGCACTTCAGCCTTTAAGCGTCTAAAGAAGTGCTTGATTGAGTGCCCGGTTCTGAAGATAGTTAATCCATCCTTGCCATTTATCGTTACCACTGACGCTAGTCAATACGGGATAGGTACTGTACTCCAACAGAATGATGGAAAGTGGGTACAAACCTGTTGAGTTCATGTCTTGTAGACTACCTACTGAGAAGGTGGTCGTTTCTACGTATGAGAGAGAGTTGTTTGCTCTTAGAGAAGCCTTGAATCATTGGCGACACTACCTCCTAGGTCGACATATCAAAGTGTATTCAGACCATGAGACACTTTGCTGGCTGAAGACCCAAGCTAGAATAACACCTAAGTTGACGAGGTGGGCTGGGGAGATTGCTCAGTCTGATTTCAAACTGAAGCCAGTCAAAGGGAAGTATAACGTTGTCGCTGATGCTCTAAGTAGGCGAGCAGATTTCTTTGGTGCCATTGTAACATACTTGGATGTGGCCGCTAAATTACAAGAGAGGATTAGGTCCGCCTACACAAGTGATCCAGTCTATAGTTAGTTGATTGGCAAGCTGCAGACAACGCCACACGAAGTTCCAAATTGTAGAGTGACCCAAGGACTGCTGTTTGAGAAGACAGATGTGCACGGCAGATTGTGCATCCCAAACAGTGAAGAGATTCGCAGTCTAATGCTAGGGGAATGCCACGATACCGAGGGACATTTTGGTTGGAGGAAGACGTATGCTAACCTCCTACATTCCTACACGTGGACTGGTATGAAACATGATTGTATAGCTTATGTATAAGGCTGCAAAGTATGTCAGCGGAACAAGAGTTGCATGCAGCCTCCCCTTGGCTTACTTAGACTGCTGCCTATATCGTCGGGTCCCGGAGACTTTGTGTCTATAGACTTTATGGACACTAAGGTGAGAACTAGGAATGGGAAGAGCCAAGTTATGGTGATAGTGGACAGATTTAGCAAGTTTTCTGTTTTTGTGCCGCTCCCTGCTGAAGCCAGGACAGACTTAGCAATTCGAGAGTTTTTTAATCATTGGGTGAAAGACTACGGGCATCCCTTGACTATTGTAAGTAATAGGGATACGAGATTCACGGGCGAGCACTGGCAACAGTTGATGAATGTTTATGGGTCCAAACTGACTATGTCCTCAGGCAGACATCCTGAGACAAATGGACAGACCGAGCAGATGAACCAAGTGTTGAAGCAGGTGCTGCAAATGTACATCCGACCAGATCAGATTGACTGGGATGAACATCTAGCTAAGGTCGTTAGTGCCTATAATAATTGCGTGCATTTGGCTACAGCACGAGCACCCACTGAGATGCATTTGGGTTGGCGCCCATGTAAGCCCACTGACTATCTGAACCTTGATCAAGTGCAAAGGCTTCCTCCAGGGACTTGAGAGTTTGCGGTGCAGTATGAGAAAGACTTAGAAAAGGTAAGGGAGAACGTCAGAAAGGCACAACATCAGATGATAGAACAAGCAAATAAACACCGCAGACCTTCGTAGTTCGCTGTAGGGGATTTCGTCTGGGTAAAGTCTAAAGAGTTTCTCCCAGAGGAGAACATCTCACAGAAGTTATTGCCTGCGTATAGGGGACCGTGGCAGGTACTTGACGTGATTGGTAATGTGGATGGCCCTTCCTACGTTGTTGAGATTCCTCCGCATTTGCACACTTACCCGGTGTTTCATGCCTCTAACTTGCTCCCTTGTGTCAGCAATGAGCTATTCCCATCTCGAAGATCTATGATTCGTCTTGATATGGATGGTAAATATGACGTGGACTGCATCATGGCAGAGGATATTTATAAATCTGGACGCAGGGGTAGGCCCCAGCGACATTACAAAGTTAGATTCCCTTATCAGCAGCCTTCGGAAGATCACTGGTTTACTAGAGATGAGCTTGTCGAGACAGCACCGGACATAGTGTCCTACTATGAGAGAGTTAGGTGAGGAATCAACATAGTTGATAGGTAATGACTGTAACTTTCTCGGAGGACCTCAAAATTAGGCCGGCGAGAGTGAAAGGCATTCCACGATGCAGACTCCAAATTCGAATTCCAGGGTCAAGGCCTCAGGCCAAGCGAGGCCAAGTCGGTCAGTTTCAGAAAAGTCACAGTCACGTACCTTAGGAGTCAAGTCCACAGGCACCTGGTGAACAGTCACATCCCAGAGGCAAAGGTTGCATTCTATAAGCAAAAGTCACGTCCCATATTGAAAAGTCATATTCCACAGGCAAAGGACACTTCCCCAGGCAAAAGTAGTGTCCCAGAGGCAAGAGTCACATCCCACAATCAGAAGTCATTTTCCACAGGCCAAAAGTCGTGACTCATAGTCCCAAGCAGCAGCACACCAATGAACATCCAAGCCCTGCCAGCTATGGAGGCTGGGCTATGGCGCTGCCCACAGCAGCGCCCTGCTCCCTGCATGACCGCACGTGCCTGCACTTCGCCGCTCAGCGCTAGCAGCAGCCCACGAGCTTCAGCTCCAGCAGCGCTGCCGCCAGCATGCGAATGCCCGAACTACTGGCCAGGCAGCGAGCTCTTTCCTATATGGAAAGAGCCCGCCTCATTCGGCAGCCTGGCTGGACTGGCCTGGGCCCAGAAGCTTCCGGTAGGCCCCGGGATGCTGCGCCTCTGGTGCAGCTACTGGGCCTCATTCGGTTGGGCCTCCCAGCGGTCTGTGTATGAGGCTGCGAATCTCGCCCAAGGCCTGTGCTTTTGGAAAGGCCTAGAAGGCCTGGGAATTTCCACGCTGCTCGGCCTGTGTTTTCCTTCAACCAACTGGCGCGATGAAACTGCCTGGACCCCAAATGGGAAATTGACAGCCGAGGGCCTCTTGTGATTTGTTAGGCCCGCCTTCACTTAGGGCGGGCACAGATGCAACAGGGGCCCCCTTAGGCCTGCCGAGGATCTGAATCCTCGCACAAGATTCTCAAGTAGAGAGAGAGAGAGAGAGAGAGAGAGAGAGAGAGAGAGAGAGAGAGAGAGAGAGAGAGAGAGAGCATGAAAAAGACCAGGAGGGAGAGAGAGAGAGAGAAGGCAGAGAAAAAGAAAGAGAGAGTCAGCCAGGGAGAGAAGAGAGTCAGCTGCCTTAGATGAGGATGCTGGTTTTGTGTTGCTGACTTCTGCGCTGTTGAGCGCTTGGTGACTGGATCTCCAAAACTGTTTAATGTGATGATTTGTTGGAATTTCTAAGCTGCGCATATCTGGACTTTGCATCTCTGGACTCCAGTGTGGATTTCGTGTGATCTCTCAATGTGTGTGTGTGTGCTCAAGGTGTCGAACAGTGAGGCTCAATGCGTCTTGCACTGCAGCTATTTTTGTGTCTCACAAACGTCATCACGAACACACACATGCAGCACTACCGCCAGGACTGGTAAGATATAAAGGAACGAGAAAGAAGAAGGTCCGTGACATGCAGGCATGGGTTGTGCTTGTCTTCTCACTGTGTGTACTGGGTGATGACTGTATGTCACGGATCCTATTCTTTTTTGTTCATTTATATATTCGCAGACCTGACATTTGCCAAAATTGATGATGTTACTTTTTCCCTGGATGATGGTGTGTTATGATCGGCAGGTACAGCGCAAAGGAGAATGTAGCGAAACCGACATTGGTGCAGACTTGTCATTTTGGGAAAATAAATGACGTCACATTCCCTGCTGGATATAGTCAAGTCTTTGCGTCATGTTCGGAGCGCGATATCAAGATCTGGCATTCTGAAGAATGCCGCGAACTTCTTCGCATACAGGTTTCATATCCATTCCCCATCATGCCTTCCATTCATTCCAGGACATTTTGATGATTTTATTATTGGCATTACTTTTGCAGCTTTTGCTAATGTTGATGCTGCTGTTTGTTGTTCAACAAGTATCAAATCTATTGATCCGTCTATTCACTGATGAGTATAGATCTTACGCACATTACATCCACAGTAATTGCCATCATCTTACTACTGACCTTATCATGCAAATGACATCAATTTGAAGCTGGAAACAACAACACCAGTTCTTTTACTCCAAGATACTGAGATTTGCAAGGAATGAGCCCCTCGCAAGGCCTTACGGCCCTAGCAGCCGACACCGTCGGGGCCCCCTGCAAGCCTCGTGCCCGCCCTAATTCTCACGAGGCCTATTATTGGGATTTCTGCAGTTGCAGACACCAGACAGTTACAGGGCACCAGGTGGTCTCAGGGCACACACAGGCTGTGTGACCATGACATTGTGTGCCCTCCAGGGCCTCCCAGGCAGCGACGTGCAGTCTGGCCTCTCGGCCAATCAGGACGCAGAATGTGACATGAGCCTAACTGCACTGGTCCCAGGCCAGTATCTTAAACTGGGCCTGGGCGCAGACACTCTGGCCCGAATGGAAGCTACTGGGCCCCAGACCTCGCATGCACTTTCCATAAAGGAAAGTGCCCAGCGCCCAGCCAGACATTCTGGCTTCGTACGAGCATGTGGCCACGCTGCCAGACTGGGTGCTGCTAGTCTTCTGCGAGGCCAGAGTGCACACAGGCGCTAGTAAGAGGTGGAAGGGCGCTGCAAGCGGGTAGCGGGTGCAAGGCGGCCATAGCCGGCCATGCCGCGCGGTGACTGGTGATGGAGATGGTGGTCTTCGGGTGTCGGGGACAGGCACTGTGGGAGAGGAAGCGATGAGGGGAGAGAGGGATGAGACACGTACCTGATGTATGTGGCAGTCTGCATGGGCGACTTCGTCATGTACATTGGTCCTTTGGCTGGAAGTGATTCCTGTTCATGTCGTAGCTGCAGGCTAAGTAGGATAGGCTGAGCGCTGAGTGCCAGAGAAGAAGCGTGACATTGGATAAGTTGTTTGTGATGGCAAGAAGAGGCTGTCATTGACATTTAGGTTCATTGCATTGCTCTTATTTGGCCTGTAACTCGGTGCTGATTGCTTTCTTCTTGGTACACGACCATCTGGCCTTCAATCTGATATTGCAATTTGGTTTTCTGTCTATCACTCTTGCTCATTTTCCTTACCATCTGTTTTGCAGTCACTTTCTAGCGGCTTAAGTCAGGGCCCATCCTCCAGTCCTTTTTACTCCAAGATATTGAGATGTGCTATATCCTACATGTCTACATCACATGCATATCCCACAGGATTGTGAGATTCAAGTTTGCAATTTGCAGTATCACGCTAATGCTCCTACTCGTCGGAACCCTTTGTTTCTCGAACCAAATCCTGAAGCTTGAGACAGGGAAAACGGCAAGGTTGTGCATAGCAGGCAAGACCTGAATATTAGTGCAAGAACAGCGGACGATGGGGCCTAAGCGAATGAGAGAGGGAGAAAGGGACTGATGAAAGTGGTCCCAGGAATAATGGAACCAGCTTGTGACCTCGCACGCAGGGAAGCGGAGAAGGACCTAGACAAAGTAGATGACGATCAGTTATCGGAGGATCGGATAAGGTGTTAGGGGTCGGAACGCCGGGAGACGCACGACTACTTGATAAAGGATCAACGGCGAGAGTGATGGCAAAGCCGCACACCTTGCAGTCGCAAGAAGCTGGATGCCGGCGCAAGGCGGCAAGGAAATTGGTAAGGGAGCGGGATGTCAAGAAGCCCCAACAGAGCAGCGTTAAGGAGGGTGCCCGGGTGGACAGGACCGCCAAGGATGGTATCCCGGAAGGTTATGAAAATATGGAAACTCGGACGGGGCTGGGAGGAATCAAATAAAGACACTGGGAACTGAGAGGCAGTTGGCATCGGTCCACCTGGCGCAAGGGAGGGCCATGAAATGGCCAGCTCAGATGGCCTAGGACACTTGACAACTGTCATGGGAAGTTCCACAAAAGGAAGGGCCTAGAAAGATAAAAGAAATCAGGGCCCCTTCTGAGGAAAACACGTCGATCGAGGGAAATTGGGATAGGTAGGGGGTGACTTAGTAGGCCACACAAAGGAGGCCCTTTGAGGGCCTAGACTACCAGAAACGAGCCTTATTAGAATCGAAAAATACAAAATTTGTGGGACAAAAAATACATTCACTTGGTTTCTGACTTGGCTTCATACAACAACATTATTTTCATTGGTTTGCAAAGTCAAATATTTATTCAGAATTACCACAAAAAGATAAAGAAATAAGGTCATGTATTTATAATCATATACGTAATCATGAACGTAAGTCTTCAGATTATAAAGGATTGCTCGAATTCATATTTATCGTAGAACTGGCTTAGTTCAGTTACAAATTCATACTGGATTTCCAGCATTACTAAGTCCGGGTGCATCCCAAGGTGCAGCGGGCTACGAAGTTTCAGTTTTTGGAGCGTCGAAGTGCGATGCACCTCAAAAATGCACTTCCAGTGTGGTCCGCGGTACAGTAGACCACGTGTAAAAAAAAACTTCAGTTTTTGATACACCCGACGATAAAACTAGTTCAGATGCATCCTAGGGTGCAACGGACTGCAAAGGTTTAGTTTTGGTAGTGTTTCCAGAATGAGTGGAGGAGAATCCGAAGTGGGAGATATGGCCCCTGGGGCGATATCTTGCACAATGGCTAGGTACATTGCAAGTACCTAGCCCAAAAACATGTCTAGATGCCTTGGGAAGGGCCAAAGACAAACCTTTTGTCAACCCAAGGTTGTATCTACTTAAAAATTGGACTTGATACTTAAAATCTTTGAAAAAAAACAAAGAAAAAGGAAGAGAAAAAGGCAAAGATGCATCCTAGGGTGAATCGGACTGCAAAGGTTTAGTTTTGGTAGTGTTTCCACAATGAGTGGAGGAGAATCCGAAGTGGGAGATACGGCCCCTGGGGCCAGGGTTGTCAGGCGGGGGCCCCCGGGGGCAAAGTCGGGGTAGGGGTTTGACCCCCGGACCCCCGCTGGCGGGGTGCCCC